CTGTGATTTTCACCTCACTACAATCTAGCAATTTTCTATGCATCATTCTGCAATATTGCACTCATAGAAAAATTCAGAGAAATTTACAAAACTTATATACACCTTCAAGATAACAAAAAACACTGCATTGTCCATCTAAACTGAAAGAAAAAACACAAAAAACAACTTTTGTTTAGAGAAACAAAAACTTATATTCATCTTCTACAAACATATATTTTCTCTGAACTACAAATTGAAAATGAGTAACAAACTTATAATTTTCTCTGAACTACAAATAAAAGCACAGAGAAATTTATGAACTTACATTCACTTTCTCAAATTCTATCTGCATTAGAAACTTCTAATAATATGTCCATATGCACTTATAATTTTCTCTGTGATTTTCGTTGGATTATCATAACAAACTTACAATTTTCTCTAGACTATACTAACAAAAGTGCGAAAAATGAAATTTCTCTGGTTTAAAAAAATTTCTCTGGTTTGAAAAAACATAGAACAAAACTTATCATTGATCAGCATGTTGATGAAAAACAGAGCACGAAAAATGAACTCTAAACATCAAAATCAACTACACTGTCAACACTCTTTGAAATTGATCAAAAAACAGAGAATGAAAAATTAATTCCAAAAACAAAAATCAACTTTATCAAGCTGGCCTCTCTCTAAACAAAAATTCAAAACAAAAATCAAAATCCATGTGAAATCTAAATCGAAAACAAACCTGATTCAACTACACTGAAAAACCTACATGATCAACACACTGTCAACACTCTTTGAAATTGATCAAAAAACAGAGAATCGAAAATTAATTCCAAAAATAAAAATTAACTCTATCAAGTTGGCCTCTCTCTAAACAAAAATTCAAAACAAAAATCAAAATGCATGTGGAATCTCCATCGAAAACAAACCTGATTCAACTCCACTGAAAATCTACGTGATCAACACACTGTAACACCTACACGATCGTAGCAATCTTTCTCGTCAACTCCACTGAAATCTCCGACGAAATCTCCACCGTGAAGTCAACAATATAATATTGAAACAAATTTCTCGTCAACTCCACTGCAATCTCCGACAAAATCTCCGTTGCGAATTCGGTTTCCAAAATCTCACCGTGATGTCAACAATATAATATTCAAACAAATTTATGTTATAAAAGAAGGGTAATTTAGGTACTTTATAACCTAAAATAAATTTGAGGGACCTTAGCCATCAAAACATATTATTTTGGACCTCTCCTCTTATCAAAAGTAGAGGGGTTTTTTTTTTTTAAGGTCCCTCGTATTAAGATTTTATAGCATAAACGACATCTAATATTTTCATAATGTCGAAGGTCCCTCAAGTTGATCCAAAGAAAATTAGTCCAGAGAAAATTCACGTCACAGAGAAAATTGGTCCAGAGAACTTTCCAGAGACAACGTAGCAACCCTTTCTTCAAGCAACCTTTGCTCTTACTGGAAATCCAGAGAAAGTTGGAAAAGAAGAGGTTTTAATAGTTCTTCTATGAGTTTGTGATAGATTTTCTTTAAACTTAATGCTATGAATTTCTCTAGGTTCAACCCAAAGAAAATTCAAATTTCTCTGGATATAAATTTTTTCCAGAGAAAATAAATGAAGTATTTCTCTGGATCACTTTAAGGCAAAGAAATTCTCTCAAAATCAATGAAATTCCTAAAGAAACATTTCCAAAGAAATTCTCTTTAACCCAGAGAAAATTCAGGAATTCACAAGCTAACTTGCAGAGATGTGTGTAATCTATGGTGGAACTGCTAATCCATTCATACAAGAGGGCTAATAGGATGAAACCCAGAAATCCTATAACCCTTTTAACTTGAGGTACATTGCTGTTGGGCTTCACAATTACCATCTCAGTTACGCCACAGCGGAAAATATTCTTCATCGGATTTGGTGATCGATCATTGCATGATGCATTTACAAAAGCGGAGAAATCCTGCTTTCCAAGGAAATGCTTCGCAGCTTCCCTCATGACATTGGTATTGAGTTTATAAACACTATGGTAAGCATATTGACGCTGAAATGGATCCATGATGGTATCGTTATATATCTTGTAGTGATAAACCTTGCTCTTTGCTGAAAAGCAAGCACGAAATTGAGGCACTGCAGCGCTAATTTCTCAAATTCTGATATCTGAAGGAAGAAGACCATTTAGGGTTTCGGAGAGAGACAGAGGAAGTGCTGCTCTGCAGTAGAGGAAGAGAGACAAAGAGTCAAATTTCTCTGATATATGTTTAAGGACCTTAGACATCAAAAAATAATTTTGTGGATTTCTTCCATTACGAAAAGTGGGAGAGGGACCCTAGACTAATTTTCCCGCATATAAAATGATTACTTTTTTATTTTAATTCTTAATTTTTTTTTATTTTACTGTTTAGGGATAAATTTTTTTTTTTTATTTTAGGGTTTAAGGTTTAATTCTTAAATTTTTTATTTTTATTTTAGGGTTTAGGATTTAGGATTTATAAAAAAAAAAATAAATTTAAGAATTAAACTATAAATTCTAAATCTTAAATCCTAAACCCTAAAATAAAAATAAATAAATTTTAAGAATAAAACCCTAAACCCTAAAATAAAAAAAAATAAATTTTATCCCTACACACTAAGGTAGCGTTTGGTAACATTTAAGTTTTTGGTTTATGTTTATAAAAATTTTATAAACTGGTTTCTGTTTGTTTTAGAAAAACATAAATTAACAAACATGCTTGGTTTCAACAAAATGTTTAAAAAAATTTTAAAACATAAACAAAAAAATATAAAATATTTATCTTTATTTTTTTTTAATTATTTATGACAATGAGATCATACACATTATAATTGAAAAAGAATGATTGGAAAAAAATTAACTAAAAAAAAATTAATTAAAAAAATTTGTTAGTCAAATTTTTAAATTTCTATTTAAAAACCAACGTAAACTCATTTTTTGAGTTTACAATTTGTCCTCAAATTTATAAACTGAGACAACTATTTATAAACCAAAAAAATTACCAAACAAGTTTTTATGATAGTTTTGTAAATTTTTTGTAAATATAAACTGAAAACTGAAAACGAAACAGTTACCAAATAGGTCCTAAACAATGAATCCATAGTATAATTAACAAATAATTAAATAAATTACCAACGTAAGAAATGACTTATCAAAATATTATTAGGCTATGTATGGTTTGATTTTTAGAATTTTTTTTTAAAAATTAAAAATTAATTTGGTTAAGAAATAAAAAATAAAAAATAATTATCATTTTCCTCCCACCCCCTTTGACCCCCTTTCCCTCCCATTGGCCAGTTTTTCTTTTCTATTTTTTTCTTTTCCTTCTCCTCCAATCACCACCCGCCACGTGTGTGTGGGGCTGGTGGAGGTGGTGATTGGAGGGGGTCTCTATCAATGCTCTTTTTAGTTTATGTTTTAATTTTTTTTTAAACATAATGTTCAAACCAAACACGTTTGTAATTTTTGTTTTTCTAAAAATAAACAGAAACTAGTTTATAAAATTTTTATAAACATAAACCAAAAACGTAAATGTTACCAAACGCTACCTTAGTGTTTAGGGATAATTTTTATTTTTATTTTTATTTTAGGGGTTAGGGTTTAATTCTGAAAATTTATTTATTTTTATTTTAGGGTTTAGGATTTAGGGTTTAGAATTTATAATTTAATTCTTAACATTTATTTATTTTTATAAATCCTAAACCCTAAAATAAATTTTAAGAATTAAACCTTAAACCCTAAAATAAAAATAAATAAATTTTATCCCTAAACAATAAAATAAAAAAAAATTAAGAATTAAAATAAAAATGTAATCATTTTATATAGTTGATTATTATTTACTATTATAAATTATTATTATATATATTTAATATTGATTTCAATTTTATGAAATAAAATTTATATATATATTGAGTGTGAGTGTGTGTGAGTCGAATAAAGCTTGGGACCCCCAGTGGGGGTGCTGGGGGTCCTTTGTGATTGGTTGAAAAAACTATTTTTTTTTTTCTTTGTTTTTGGCCATTGGCAGCCCCCCATGTGGCACTGGGGGTGCTGGGGGTGCCAAAATGCTGGGGTCTCTAGCATTTCCGATATATATATATGGAGTGCGAGTGTGTGTGTGAGTCGTGTGTGTTTGTGTGAGAGAGAGAGAGAGAGAGTGAGTGAGTGTTTGTGAGTGCGTGTGTTTGGTGCATTGTTGAAAGTGTGGTTTATAACCACGCTTTCTTTACAACACAGTTTAATTAAGAAAGCGTGGTTATAAATCACGTTTTTTGAAAAAAAATAAAATAAATAAATAAATAATTATTTTACTTAAAAGCATGGTTTGAAAAGCGTGATTTGTAACCACGTCTTCTTAATTAAAAACGTGGTTTGTAATCACGCTTTTACTATTTCGCAAATTTTTCGCAGGAGGGGCCTGAAAACAATGAAAGTGTAATTTGTAATAACGCTTTAGCCTAGTTTGGAAATTCCGTCCAAATTAGGCCTAGTTTGGAAAATAGGTTGTTAATTTGGCTTAATTTGGAAAAAGTCCCTCATATATAGATAGGGATTTAGAAAGAGAAGTAAAAGATATGTGAAATGTATTATATTTCATACATTTTTTTCTTTTTTCCTCCAAATTCTTTACTAAAATTCATGATTCAAAGTCTTAGGAAAAAACATATGAATCGTGGCGATATATGAAACTCACTGTCGAGGTCTCCATGTCTCACAGATACAATAATATTGGACATTGAATTATTATTCAAATTTTTTAGGAAATATTCTTACATAATTAACAGGACATGTAAATGCGCTGTTGCCTATAAATCAGTCTTCCAACTGTTGATGCAGTATACTATTGAGTAATTTTCTTCAATTTTTCTAAGAAAATAATACCCAAAACACGTAATTCATTTTTATTTGAAAATAAAATACCTTGGTGCCTGTACAAATACATCATGATTCGTATTTATTTCTACAAAATTGTATCCAAGAGCATATGCACACATTAACCTGATAACAAAAAGGTTGAATCCAATACACGTGAACTGATACAAAAAGTTTCATCACAATTAGGTAAAAATATAATGGCAATGAGACATTATAAAAAGCACAAGAACAATATAGGCAAAACTACAGATTAGGTAAAAGTAGTAGTTCTATACATTTTCAAAGAGAATGGATGTACTTGACTCTCTGGATCGCTTGCTTTACCTTGGTCGATGGCTCTTCATACAAGATGGAAGGGTTATCAACCTCAAAGGCCAAGCTACGTTCCCCAAGCAAAGCCCGGAACGAGTCTCCAACTGAATATGAAAGAGAATCGAGGTTATATCCTCCTTCCAAAAAGAAGATGCAGCGCCCCCCACAGATATCTTTGGCAAGTTGTTTAATGTTCGATGCAAGCATATAGTATGTTCCTGTTGTAAATTGCAGACTTGCTAATGGATCCAACACATGCCCATCATAACTGAAAACAGAGTAGTTACAAGATGTGTAAGTTAGTGAATTCAGTAAAAAGGAGACAATGATATCTTATAAGCTACTAGTTATGGTTATGAAATTACCACCAAAAAAAAAAAAAACAACCAAAAGCAAAAGCAAAATCAAAAGCAAAAGCAATCCATTCTGACTATTCAGAACTATCTGAATGCAACTGAACTAGAAGTCTAGAACCATGATTATAGCTCTGTTTGTTTCAACGGATTGATTTCCAAACTATGTTTAATTGTATCCTTGAAACTAATGTACTAATGATTGTATTAATAGTGGTGGGGTGGTGGTGGTGGTGGAGCAAAGATGGAGGCGGTGGGGTGCCAGTGATAGTGTGGTAGAATTGGTAAGATTTTAGTGCAAAAACATTTTCCATAGTTTACAAGTGAAACATTTTCTGCCCAAATAGACTAGTTTTCCGTCGACCTTAATTTTTCGTTCTACCAAATGTCAAAAAATGTTATTTTTTGCTCACACAAAGAGTGTAAAGTAACTGTTAAAAATGCATGAGGCCTTTGTTTAGAATAAAGTAAATAGATGGTCTCATTTTAAGTAATAGTGACATTAAATTTTCTGGGGAAGAGCCTCACCCTGCTGAGACAAGAATTATATCTGGCTGAAACCTCTGAGCACATGGTAGTATGACTTCATCAAACACAGTCCGCATAGCAATATCACCGGACCCTCCTGGTAAAGGCAAATTTAGTGTTGTTCCTTCACCATTTCCATCACCTACCTCATCAATTTTACCAGTGCCAGGGTAGCTTCCATCCTACATCAAATAGAAATATAATTAGTCGTGGTCAGTAATTGGTATTTTCCACATGAACCTACAAAAGTAACTGATGTCAGCACAAAAATATCAAGTCTGTGAATGTCAATATTATCATCTAAATGCCCAAGTGGAACTCCAGCATAACATTAATTGGAGAATTATGTTGAGCAACTTCTTTTTCTCCCTTTCAAATTTTCCCTCCTTTTGGTCTATATTTCTCCCTCCATCAAGTCCATGTATAAATCATGGAGATAGTGATTCTTATGTTGAGCAGTGTATTAACTGTCACCAGCCAAATCAAGATATATATATATATAGAGAGAGAGAGAGAGACCTTCATACTTGAAAGTTTCCTACAGAAAAATGAAGGGAGAGAGTGGATAGTTATTTTTCAATTTGGCAGAGTCTAAACCTTTTAATTTTGGACAGACAGCTCATATTTTCCAATTTCACTGCTGAAGTTGGAACACCAAATATAGCAAATCTAAATTCAAATAGGAGACCTATCATTTGGTTCTACCCTCACCATTAATTTAAGACCTTTTTGCTTAAATCAATCTTTCAAGAGTCTATCAATCAATAGTAATTCCTATGTTACTTGTTACATATATGATTCAAGTAATTGATTAAATTTTTTTTCTTTTCTTGATTCAAGATTATGTGATTGACTCATCAAATTAGCCCTTCAATTTCCCAAGTCACAATCTATGTTTTAGCTATCTCCTCTTGACATATAATATGCTCAAATTCATGTATCACAAATAAAACAATTCTATACTAACAATATCAACATTCAAATATAAGTGACATTATAAAGAGATGAACACAAAAATTTATAGTGGTTTGGTTTCTTGTCCATACCCTGCCTCCCTGCTAGCGTTAATTCAGTAAACAAACAGGTTTTTACTAGGGAACCCAAAACCTTTACATCCACTTCTTCAAGGGTTACAATAGTTATAGGCCCACCCAAAACCGCAACCTCCACAACACAAACCTAATACTTCAACAGTTTTACAAATCTAGAAAATGGGTTTCGCAAGGGGAACCAATACCCTTAGCCCCCAATGTAGTGTCTAGGTGAGACAGGTGTCATACATTCCACAAGTAAAGAACTTTGAGACTCCCCTGGGGAAACCTCTTCTAAAACTTGTGTTGAAGATATGAAGGTGGCACTCTTTATCCAAGGTAGGATTCACGCTATATATGTGTACGAGAGTACAAGAGTTATACAAGATCTAGGTGCTTTTAGGAGTATTGGGGTATTTATAGCTAAGTCTCCAACAACTAGTTTTTTTTTTTTTTTTTTTAAATTTTGCTCTGGCATGGTCAACCATTGATCAATATGGTCGACCACATCCCTTTGGATGGCAGACCATACTGTAGAATGACTTTTTTGCACTCTCTGGACTTACCAATATAGTCAGCCGTAAAGATGGTATGTCCAACAAGATCATGGCTTACTTGGTGAGTTGAAAGAAAAAATATATCTGGGTCATCGTAGAATGCATCATTAGTTCCATTGCCGTGGTGAACATCAAAATCAATGATAAATACACGCTTTAATCCATGTACACGCTGAGCATAACGAGCTGCGATTGCCACATTTCCAAAAACACAAAATCCCATGGGCCCCTTTGGAACAGCATGATGACCTGGAGGTCTAATCAAAGCAAAACCTGTAGGGGGATCCCGTCTAATTTTTGATGCTGCTACCTGACATGTCACAAACAAGAACTTCAGGAGCTATTCTAAACAGGAACTTAACCAGCTTACAATCACAGAGAATTCAAAATTCAACTAACGTCTTAGATTGAGACATCACCACTGAATCAACCAGGGAAATTCCAGCTCCAGCTGCAATTAACGATTCCTGGAATGTCTGCATCAGTAACAATGTTAAATCCAATGATTAAACATTAACATATCATAAGCCTATGGAATGAAAAAATCCAAGTAAGAAAAAGTTATTTCCTAGTTTAGAGCAATGTGGTCAGAGAAACAGACTAGTGATATATGACATATTTCAGTTTACAAATGTCAAATTCAAGAATCAGGTTGTCACAATGGGTTTAACATGAAATTAATGCCTCATTAACAAATACATAATTGAAAACCACCAGATGTCTATGTTTCAATCAGGTATTAACCTCATCATGTAAATCACTAAAGTGCTTATTAAATGGTAAGAGTCTACTAGGGATGGCAATATGAACCCGGCCCGACGGGGACCCGGACCGCCCCGTCCCAATAAATAGGGTTTTCCCCGAAGATTATTCTCCATAGGGCCGGGGTTGGTATTAAAAAATACATCCCCGATAATTTTCGGGCCGGGGCCGGGGACGGGGATAGGCTCCCCGGCCCGCCCCGAAATTTCCCCGATGCATCCCCGCCTCTATACCTCTTAGTTGTACTATATAAATAAATATTTCACTGTTTGATCTTATCTTCTCTCTCTCAACTCTCTCACTGACTCAACTATCTCACTCTCTGTTAAAATTTACCATCACCTACCACCAATTTACCATCACCTACCACCACCTACTCCTCACCTACTACACTCACCCTCTCCTATATAATGAGCCACTCACCATTTGTAATACATAACAATCTTGTAACAATATCAATCAATAAATACATCAATATTTTTACAAATTTTATTTATTATATGTCATAAAATTATTAAAAAATAATTAAAAAAACATTGAAATAACATAAAATTGCATTCCATCAATACATAACATGTCATTTGAAGCTACCAACCATCAATTGTTACAAAATGCATGAAAATCAAACCACAAAATATAAAATTATCCAATGTACCAATAACTATCATCTATTACAAAATCCATAAATATCAGAAAATGTGAATTTAAGTAGAGGAAACTATTACAACATCTTCACCACCACCTCCATCTTCTCCTTCATCTGTAAATAGGACCGCCTCCATAGCCGGTTCATCAAGTGAGAGGTTAGCTATCCCAAGCATTCCAATATCATCAAGTGAGTCAAAGTTATCTCCAGCAATGTCCCACATTTTTGTCTCTCCTTGCAAGTATTGGGAGCTCCTCCTTGATAAAAGACGAAGATTGCTATGAATGAACACCAAGTCCTCCGCTCTTTGAGGGACCATTTTGTTCCTTCTCACTGAGTGAATAAAGGAGTAAGTACTCCAATTTCTCTCACAACAAGATGAAGAGGCGGGTTGCACAAGTAATCTCAAAGCTAGTTTTTGAAGAGATGGTGCATATGCACCATATGCACACCACCAAGTATAAGGGTCCATGTGCCACCTATTATGAATAGAATCATACTCCGAGAATGCTTCAACATAACCCGAAAATTTTCCAAACTCAGTTATCACCTTGGTTCGCTCTGTGATATCTTCAAAATACCTCTTAAAACACTTGTTCCTCTCACGTGTCACCTCTTCATCCCTATGTGGAGGAACTCTATTTTGATCCTCATGGAGCCACTCATCACTATAATATCTACAATACAAAATAGGAAAAAATAATTATTTCAAGAAAGACTAGATAAGTCCATTAAAATGAAATATCTAAAACAAATTTAAATGTGATACTTACTTTGGATTCAATGAATGTGCCATACAATGGAGAGGAGTATTGTTTTTATTCCAACGATCCACGAGAATTTAATGCACCACATTGTAAAATGTAGATTCCTCATCTATTCTTTTCCCTTCATGCCTATAAATTGACATCTTCACTTTCTCTATCATTGAATATCAATTTGCTTTACAAACAACACCAATGGTCCTGAATCTCAGATTATTTAGCTCCTGTACAAACTATTAGGCAAATCATAGTTTTCTGAACAAAAATTCATCCTTTTTTTGTTTTTTGTTCAAATCCCAATAATTGGGTAAGTCCATTACCTATCATGGTATTGTAAATTAGCTTCACATCCCTCAGATATGCAATAAACTTTGATTTGTTTAACTCATAGCTGTTTCAATACAATACCCAAAAACAACAAAAACAAAATCAAAACAGAAAATTCTATGAACATAAACGAATCCACTTTACTCGAATCAACACTTAAACAAATCCTCAATGTACTATATAGTTGAGGCCTAGTTTAAATTTCAAATTTCAAATTCTGTAACTTCTTCAGTTTTTTTTCCCCACATATATTTTTTATTTTCATATCACCCATCAGGTGTGCACACATTCTAGTACACACACACACACACACACACACACACACACACACACACAGGTCGGCAAAAGTGAGTTTCCACGACCAAGAACTATTTTGGTCGGCAATAGATGTATTTTTTGCGACCAAAACTCTTGGTCGGCAATTGTCATTTTTTGCGAAAAAAAAT